AGGCAGGCCTACACCTGACCCTGGCTCCTGGTGACTGCTTTTCAGGCATCCTACAGGGCCTCCGTGGACAGAGCCTCCTTTGAGCAGAGACCAACTGTAGTTTTTGTTGCATGAAACAGAAGGATAGTGTTCTGTGCTGTTCCCATTTTGCAGAAACTTTGGAATTCTGGATTTCGCTGTGATATGGCCTCCCTGTCCGTTTTTCTTTGTAAATAGGCAACATTCATCCATAATGCTGATTTGTATCACTGCCACTAAATAGCCAGCCAGCAAAAAATAGCCTGAGTGTTCATAAGCTAGCTCTTCCCTTGTCAAGGAAGAAAAATCTAAGGGCTGGAGTAACTTCTTCACTGTCGCCGCCACAAATCTTTTGCCCCTGTGCACAGTCACTGCTGTGCTCATGGCTTATGTTCTGAGCTCAATAAGGAGGCCAGGCTTCCCCTACAAACTCCTCTCTGCTCTGCTGCCAAACCGATGTGAGGTAGAATTTGGCCAGGCCAGCGCCCTTTCAAAAACCCCGCTCAGAAGGTTTCCTTTGGGAGGATGATGAAAATGTTCTAAAATTAGATTATGGTGATGGCAGTACAACTCTGTACATATTACTAAAAGCCATTGAATTGTATACTTTAAGGAGGTGGATTTTGTGGTATAAACATTAAATCTCAGTAACGCAATTTTTTTTTTGTATCATTAATCTACAATTACATGAGGAACATTATGTTTTTTAGACTCCCCCCTTCACCAAGTCCTCCCCACATACCCCATTAGTCACTGTCCATCAGCGTAGTAAGATGCTGTAGAATCACTCCTTGTCTTCTCTGTGTTGTACAGCCCTCCCCGTGCCCCCCAACATTATACATGCTAATCATAATGCCCCCTTTCTTCCCCCCCCTTATCCCTCCCTCCCCACCCGTCCTCCCCAGTCCTTTTCCCTTTGGTAACTGTTAGTCCATTCTTGGGTTCTGTGAGTCTGCTGCTGTTTTGTTCCTTCAGTTTTTCCTTTGTTCTTATGCTCCACAGATGAGTGAAATCATTTGGTGTTTGTCTTTCTCCGCCTGGCTTATTTCACTGAGCATAATACCCTCTAGCTCCATCCATGTTGTTGCAAATGGTAGGATTTGTTTTCTTCTTATGGCTGAATAATATTCCATTGTGTATATGTACCACATCTTCTTTATCCATTCATCTACTGATGGACACTTAGGTTGCTTCCATTTCTTGGCTATTGTGAATAGTGCTGCGATAAACATAGGGGTGCATCTGTCTTTTTCAAACTGGGCTGCTGCATTCTTAGGGTAAATTCCTAGGAGTGGAATTCCTGGGTCAAATGGTATTTCTATTTTGAGTTTTTTGAGGAACCTCCATATTGCTTTCCACAATGGTTGAACTAGTTTACATTCCCAGCAGCAGTGTAGGAGGGTTCCCCTTTCTCCATAACCTTGCCAGCATTTGTTGTTGTTCATCTTTTGGATGGTGTCAGTAACGCAATTTTTTAAAAGCTAATGGAATTGTACGGGGAACAAACCTTACTTGGGCACCCCAGCCTTGCTGTGACCTGGTCCTCCGCATGACCTTAACCTTCAGCCAAACCGAACTTCCCACTGTTCCTGCCGAGGATCACCCTGTCCTGCACAGACTGTCTCCCTCACCGGGGCGGCCCTTGCCTCTGATCCCCCCTCATCCTGCCCAGCTGAGCCCCAGCATGGCCTTCTCCAGGGAGTTTCTCTGACTTCTGTGGCCCCCCAGGATCCTGGCTTACCTCTGCCGCTGCTCTGATCCCGTTGAGCCGATGGCTCCAGGTTGTGTTTGTCTCCCGGGACTGTGTCTTAGTCACTCTGCTGCTCTAGGGCCTGGTGGGTGCTGGCCCCTCAGAGATGCTCAGTTGATGTTTCAGTAGACCCAGCTGGCTTCATGGGTCACCCCATTGAACTTAAGCCTCTCCAGCCAATGAGCGTGTAGTCAGTAGAACTCACATGGGGCTATGAAATGCTTAGGTAACCCCCCGTCCCTTTGCTCTCCTCTTTAGCTTTTTCTAAACCTGTGATTTAGCAGTTACCAATTTGAAGTTTTGCAAGAACCACCTTCTTTGTCTTTCTGAAATGCTTGTCTACTGAGGTACCTTTCCGCTGGGGCGAAAGCCAGGGGGCTGCATGTACTAACTGCATGGAAGAGGGGAAAAGGCCAATTAACATTCAGCTAAGAGAGAAAATGATTTCTCCTATCAGCAGTAAAAACTGACAGCTCTATCAGAAAATGAACCGGGGGAGCCACAGCGCCTGCGAGACGGGAGGGGAGAGGTCTGCAGGCCGCAGCACTGGCGGGGAGGAGGGCTGAGGGCAGAGACTGCGGCTGGGAGTCAGGGCATCGCTCAGGTCAGGCGTCCGGCCCTGGGAGGTGAACTGCGCCTTCCCACCCGCCCCGCCTGTCCCATCCAGCCCAGGGCGACAGCACTCGCCCTGCTCTGGTTTTACACCCGCAACTGAGAGCTCACACTCTCCTAACGCGTCTCCCTGTGCACCCGTTTCCTCTGACCTTATCATAAAAGGAAGCCACGTGATGTCTATTTATGGTAGCGGGAGGTCTGGGGAGCGGAGGCTGCAGTGCTGAATTCCGAGGGACGATGGAATTTCTTGGGCCCTCTGGATCACGCCGTGAATGAAGAAATGGGCGCGGGGGCAGGGTGGCACCTGACAGACAGGTTCCTTCTTGAGTGCTACACAGGTCATTTGTTCTATCTATAAATCAGAGCTTATAAACCAGATAAGAGTTATTAGTTAAGAGTCACAAACCAAATTCAGTAGCGTTAATATGAGAGGAAGTGCAGAGAAAAAAGATGGAGAAGCACCCTCATTCGGCCTGGTAGGGAAGATAGTTAGCTCTAAAAAATAAAGCCATTCACTTTTTATTTTAAATCTAAGGACATTTGCTAAAAAACAAAAAGGCTGATACGACAGATACAGCAAGTGACATGAGAGAGACCTAGGACCAGATGGGTGGTTTGTTCTAGTTGGAAATTCAGGGAGGCAGTTTGGGGTCGTGCTTTGTGTACAGTTCTGGGCCACGTCTCCTCTGATATACAAAAATAAAGCATTGGTTCAGCACCTAAGAGCATTAGCTCCTCTTCGAAGCATCCACCTGCCCATCATGGGGATGTAGGAAGCAGAAATGGTTTAGAGACCACACAGGGATCCTGGCTTCTCCAGCATTTGTCTCCAGCAGACGTTAATGGGGGAAAAGCAGAGGTCCCAGCTGGCACCGTCAGAGATGATGGCTCTGGGGCTGTGGTTTTCTGAAACGCTCCCAAATGCTTCTGAACTGGGATTTCTGATCCGGTCTCACATCCACAATGTTCTGCTTTCTTTCTGTTCTCAGTCTGGTAGGGATAACAAGGCAATAAACGTCAGGCCTTTAAGCCCAGGAATTGATTCTAGGTAAAATCAGTAAGTTCAAGTGTGCCAACGGATGCCATGTCCTTTTGTTATTAGAAGGCACCTTTCAAGTTACATTGCTGAGTTTTGAGGTCAACAACAAGAATATGTTAGCTGTTGTTAACAAATAAATTCCAAACTATTAATGGCTTAACACAAAAGGCATGTTTCTCACTTACATAACAGACCAACATGAGTGCTTGTCTGGTGGGAGGCTTTCCTTCACACAGGAAAGTTCCAAAGTCAAAATTGCAAAACAAGGTTTTGAGAAGTCTTGTGCCAACGCCGTCCTCTTTACACTATTCCTTCTTCCCCTTTGTGTGATCTTAGTTTTTAGCTTTTACTTTTTTAATTTAATATAAATAAAAAATTTATACACTTGGGCCAACTCCCCATCTTAGTTAGATACCATATGGTACACATTTTTCTCGTCTGGACCCTTTCTACATCAATGCACCTGTTTTATGACTTTGTAAAGTAGCAAAGGACATTGGTTTATTGTTAAGGGCCCATGTCTATAGCCTGGTGAATAGGTTTATATTCTGTAATTTCCTAAGTATTTTTAATCCCCCTTGTATACACAGAATGGTCATCATTGGTTATTTACTGAGAGCATGCCCAGAGCCAGGCATTGCCCTCAGCAAGTTATACCATTGCTGTGTAACATATAAAAAGCAAACTCTTAGCTTAAGGCAACAGACACTTATTATCTCACAGTTTCTTTGGGTCAGACTTCTAGGTGCAGCTTAGTGGGTCTTCTCACCGTGGGTGTCTCCTGTGGCTGCAACCAAGGTGTCACCAGGGCCTCAGTCATCTCAGGCTTGCCTGGGGAAGGGCCCTGTCCGAGCTTCAGTTCCAGGTGGACTGCTGGCTGGAGGCTGTCCTCAGCTCTTTGCAGTTGGGCCTCTCCATGGGGCCACTCACATTATAGTGTCAGAGTAAACAAGTGAGCCGGTGACGAGCAGTGGGGGAGAGGAGAGGGAGGGAAGGTCAGCAAGTCAGTAGTCTCAGAAGTAATACCCTATCTGTCGCAGTAGGCAGTGAATCCAGCCCCACGGGAGGACTGCGTGCCGAGAGCCCCCCTGACCCCAGGCAGCAAGGGGCCCACCACAGTGAAGGTGGTGCACCTCCGCCTGATTCGGGGGCACAGCTTCATCACCTTTAGAAATTCCCTCTGCTGTTATGTTCAGGACAGGATGCAAGTACATATGACGCTTTGTGACAAAGAAAAACATCAGGATGTAATGAGGATCTTCTTTTCTTAAGCCTTGTTTTGGCTTTTAAGATTGATTCCCCACTACTTGGATTTGATGGTCCTGTGTGGGGACCATTGGGCACTCTTGGACTGCTTTGAGCACCTTTCCAGTCTTTCACTGTTTTTGGCACTGCCTACCATTAGTGGACATAAAGGAAAATGGAACTCAGATAACGATTTTACATTCTGAGGATAAGTGCACAGGACAGGAGGAGGGGAGGTGACAGCCAATGTTTGCTCCTCTGCCATTCGACTTTTGTCATCCCTGCTCTGCTGACAGGGACTCAGAGCTGATCATACTGTGCTCTTCTCCCCAGTCAACCCTCTCAGCAAGTGTCACCTAGAGGTCACTGAAACCTGATGGGGACCTGGAATCCCACTCATAGGAATTTACCCAAGAGCAACGGACACTTACATTCACATAAAAACCAGGATGTGCAAGTTTATAGCAGCTTTGTTCAGAATCACCCAATCTGGAGACAGCCCGCATTCTGCACCCGGAGAAGTGACATCACCGCGGCCATGCACACAACATACTCAGCAGTGAGAGGGGATCCACGCAACAGCATCGTGCCAGGTGAGGGAACCCAGACTGCAGAGGTGGCGTGCCGTGTGGTCCCACACTCTGGAAGAGGCAAAAGCAGAGCAGAGCTGTGGCCCCCCGGGTGGGACTAGCCGATCACAGGGGGCTGAGCAGGGAATCTGGGGGATGATGGAATGCCTGGGCTGCGGGGGTGATTACATGACGCTGTTTGTCAAAACCTGGAACTGTACACCAACAAGAGTGCATTTCACTTTATAAAAAGTTTAGAAACAAATGTTTAAAAGTTAAAAAAGAAGAAACCCTCATTGTTTACAAATAAAGGGAGAAGAAAGTTGTGATCATCCAAACATATGCGTTTGAAAACAAATTGAATTTCATTTTTGGGAGATTTCATCAGACAGGGGAAGGGGCTAGTCCCCAGTGAGCGCCTCACTAAGGTTCGGTGAGTAGCCAGGTGCAAGCTGGAGCCTTGCGTACTTCTCACTGAATCCTAATGAATTTGGGAGGGCAGGGTTATAATTTGCCCTTGACAGATGAATAAACTGAGGCTCAGAGATGTGAGTGACCTCCAAGTCAAAAGCAAGGCAATGGAGCAGGGATTGAACCCAGGTCTGCAGAATACAAAGGGTATCATGGGATGATGGGCAAACGCTCTCTTCTGTTCGCCAGGCTTGTCATGAGGTTCTGTAGTTTCACAATAAAGGTTACCCACCTATCTCCCTCCTACAGCTCCTCACCTGTACAAGGGTTACTCCCAGAGTGGCTGCGCAAGTATTTAAAATCACTGCCTGCCTTCTCTGAAGGACACTGGCCATTCTTTCTCATGCTCCTTGCTTGGTTTAGTCAGTGTATCCGTTTCTAGAAGCTGTCATAACAAAGTAGCACACACTAGGTGCTTTAACACAACAGACATTTTCTCACAGTTCCAGAGGTCAGCAGTCCAAAATCAAGGTGTCAGCAGCGTCCTGATGAAGGTTCTGGGGAGGAATCCTTCCTGCCTCTTCTAGCTTCCGGTGGCCCCAGGCGCTGCTGGGCTTGTGGCTGCGTGACTGCAGTCTCTCCTCCGTCCTCACATGGCCTTCTTTCCTGTGTCCCTGCATGTCCCCTCATTTTCACAAGGACACCAGCCATTGGATTTAGGACATACCCTAAATCCATGATTTCATCTCAAGATGAAAGAACTAATTATATCTGCAAAGACCCCATTTCCAAATAAGGTCATATTCACAGGAACAGGGGGTTAGTACTTGTACATATCTTTTTGGGAACACAGTTCAACCCACTACATTCAGTGAGGCTTCCTTGGAGAGGGCAGAGGCAGGCTGGGGCCCTGGTGCTCCCTGTGCAGTGCCCCCTGTCACCCTTGGGGAGGGGGCTGGGGGGGTGCGAGCTAGAGTCAGTTCTCAGCAGCAGAGAGTCACAACCTTCCTAATAAACCCCGTGACTTCTCCCTCCTTCCTTCACCCCTCAATTTCCCCAGCAGTGTCTGGGGAAATAAGCTGACCTGAAGAAATGGGAGGGAGGGGAGTGTGGATTAGCGAAGTGCCTGATGAAAACCTGTCCTTTTGCGAGTGGGGTGGTTCTGCCAGTTTTTGATTGCCCAGCATCCTCCCCCACACCCACCCCAGAAACAGCCTTGCTTTTCTGGTGGGCACTCCTGGCCTCCCAAGGTTATTTAGTAGAGCAGGGCCGTCCCAACCCCCAGCTCCTCTCTCTGGCTTCTGTGGGCTCCCTGTGCCCTGCCTCCTTCCACTGTGGGCGGTGGTCAGATCTGTGCTCTTCTGCAGCCCTCCCTGGCCCTCCCCCCTGTCTCAGCTGACCTGCCAGGTGCAGGCTGGAGCTGCCTTACACTGGCCTGCCCGCCAGCCAGAGCAAAATGCATTCAAATAAAGAGGGATGGCCCCATTGCAGTAAGATCAAGCCCGGATTCCTGGCTGTAGCTCTGTGCTGGATGTTTGCAGAGTCAGAAAAGTGAAGAACACTGAGTGAGCTTGAGGGTGTAGACACCTTGGGGGAGAGTAACTGGGGATGAGGTTTGATCAGCTTTTTCTTTATAGATCTTTGATTGTACTCTGAGCTCTGATTTTGCCCCGCCCCCCCGGCAGCCCTCCCTGGGTGCTTGGTGTCCTCACAGGCTCCCTTCTGCCTCCTCCCCCGCCCCAGGGATCGCAGGGCTTCTGTCCTGGGTCCTGGCCCGGAGTCCATCCCCTCACCCGCAGTCCTGCCTACCTGGCCCGAGGCTGGTGGGCCCTGACACCTGCCAGGCCTCCCCCAGCTCCCTTCTCTAAGAACGTGCGGGGCCACCACCCCACAGGGCTCTGTGCTCACGGGAGAAAATGGTTGAAACAAGACTCTGTAAAACTGGGATTTGGTACTAAATGAGAAGCTTATTAGGAAAGACGTGGGATACAGAACAGTGAACCAGCACTCAGTCAATCTCCTTTACTGTCAGGAAGGCTGAACCGCGGATCCAGGATGTCGGGATACAGAGGCCACCCAGTTCTCTGCCACCCCACCCCTCCTATCTGACCTCCAGGGGTCACCAAATGTCCACCGAGCCAGGACAGGTCTGCCCACTTCTAGCCCTCTGCCAAGAGCATTCAGCCCACCACTGGCCTTTGCAAAGGCTCTGACAAGGGGGAGAGAACTGGGGGACCTGCACAGAGTGGGGCATCCACCCAGTGTCAGGTTTGGGGTCAAAGTGATACACTGTCAGGTACAACACATATAGTCCTACAAGATTCAGAACATCCTGAAATCGCCACATTTTCGGAAAATGGATGAAGAGCTGATCAAACAGATGTTTGATACCAGGATGAAGAGGACCCATCCAGCAAGACTGAGTCGGAGGCAAAGTGCGGGCTGGAGTTCTCGACAGCCGGAGGAGGAGTGTCCTGTCATCCATCAAGCCGGAGAGGGAGAAGGAAGTGCGGCCTTCCCCGTCTTTCCTTATCAGAGCCCGGCTTCTGCTGGGCACGGGCCACCAGCCAGAGCACCCAGGTGTGACAGGGATTCTGGGGGCCCGGCTTTCTCGTAAACCACAGCCGGGGTTGGACTTTGACCCAGAATACTGGTTCAGAAACTCCACCCCTTCTCATGCCCTGGGAGATAGACAGATGAGCTCCCCAAACCGGGCTTCAGGGCCACACCCGAGGAGCCCAGAAGGTAGTATTCCCCCGATGGAAGCCAGCGGCCTCACTAGGGAGAATAGCCCTTGGGCGTCTGCAGCCTCTTACAGCTGACGGGCACCTTGCTGCTCCTTAAAGCCCTTCCGTCCTCATCAGCCTCGGTGGCAGGGGACAGGAAGTCATGGTTCCTCACTGAGGAGGAAGGTGGGGCTCGGAGGGCCCCGGCGTGGCGGGGCTGGGTCTTGAACCCACGTTCCTAGGCAGAGGCCAAGCCTACCTGCAAGTCTTGTTTTGAATCTGAGCCTTCTGAGTGAGATCAAAAACTAGCTGGAGTTTGGCCCCGCACCCTCCCTGGGGCACTCTCTTTGGAACAGCCCAGGAGCGGCTTGGCTCCGCCTGCCTGGATGTGCCGGCTAAGGGCCCTTTAGGAAAAACAAATTCTTTTTTTTGCCACTGAATTGCAATACATAATTGCAATGTGCTCACGTGGTCCTACGTTTCCTTAAGATGTGCAAACGTGAGACGTTTGACCTCAATTAAATCTCTTTCCACTCTTATTCCCTTCCTTCCTACCTCTTATCCAAGTGAGTGGAGGTGGACTGGCCGTGGAGATTTTTGGGAGGTTGATTTGGGAATGAGTATGGCTTGGGATGATGGGATATTTTATGTGGCTCACAGTTACGTCCACGTGTGGTTGAGTTATTGGGCTGTCCAAGGTATGACTTCCAGGAAGATGCCCACCGATGAGTGAAGAAAGAATCCAGTGAGAGTGGTGGAAAAAGACTTAAATTGCCTGCTGATTTGACATGAAATAGTGCCATCAACAAAGATAACACAAAATTCACAATAGGCCCCATCAAAGAGGACATCAAAGCCACACTGGGTAACAAGTGCTATCCACCCAAGGGGCTTTGAAGGTCAGTCCCTGCATGAGAAAAGTTGACATGCCCGGAACTCTTACTGCTCATCTGTGAAGGAGGCTTGCTCGAGCTTGTATTCTGTCTATAGAAAATGGCATTACAGAATCCTCCTCAGAAAAAGAGGTGGTCAGAGTGCATAGAATCACAGGGAATGTGTTACAGAATGGGTTGGGCGATGGATACAAGATTTCCTGATACTTTCCTGGATTGCTTGATGTTTGGTATCTGTCAGCTTTTTAGAATGTGTATCTTGTGAGTTCTATTCTTGTTCAAAGAGGAAGTTAATATCGCTGTCATACCTAATTTTGGCTTTGTACTAGTGGTTTATTTTTGTTTTTGCAGTGACATGCCCCTCAACACTGAGCAGTCTCAGAACCCAGCTTGCTCGGTGCCGCCAACGGTTGGCTCCTGGAGGAGCAAGAGGCGTGGCCCAGCTGTGTGCTGCTCACGCTGCGGCCCTGGCCGACTGGCTTCTCTCCTTTCAGTTCTTTCCCTGTCAAACGGAGAATCGGAGAATCGCGCCCCTCATGGGGGCTGTGACAGCATGTTTGTGAAGTGCCTGCAGGCCTCCCAAGTCCTTAACAGATGTCAGCTCTTGGCCTCCTTCCCTAGATCTTTTCCTGAGGCCTGGCCCACAGCGATGGCTTCCGTTCCTCCCGTGGGCCATGCAAAGTGCAGGAGTGTTATCTTTGCCTAAGTCGGAGCTTCCTCACACAGAATGGATTCCAGCGCCTGAGAAAGCTGTTTTCTTGAAAGGACCCGTGATGTGGGGTCGGGGATAAGGGTGGGGCAAAGGGGACAGGGCGGGGTCTCCCAGAACAGCCCCTCTCCGTAGGCCATCCTGCTGTGTCTCCTCAGGGAAGGACAGGGCTTTGCAGTGTGAGAGGCAAACGTTAGTCAGCATCACGAGTTACCATGAAAGGACCACATGGGGGCGGCCCCCACATCCCCAGGGGAAGAACGGACTCTGTGGGACATAGAGGGAGTGCTACAGAGGGTCAACCCGCAGCTCGGAGGAAATGAGGCCCTAAAAGGAGCTAGGGGACTCTTAGGGGGCAGATGTCCAGCGTGAGGGGGGAGCTGTGGCTCCAGTGAACTCTGCCCTGCTCAGCCCTCCTAGCCCCATGCAGATGCAGGATTGGGGCGCCCTCCATGGGGAGTGGTCTGGAAGCTGAGGGAACAAACAGGACCACAGATGTCTTGCCCGGAGAAGGGGAGGCTGGGCCACAAACCCTGTCCTCACCTGTGGGAAGGAGAGAGACCTGGTCAGGAATTGGGGGAAGGACCTGG